TGTTACCCGTGGGCTTTCCCTCCCCCCCAGGGCTTCCGGGCCTTGGCCGACCCCGCGGGACGGCGCTTGTGTCTCGCACAGCACACACGAAGTGCCACGCCCGGCTCCTCAGAGCCACGGACACGTCGATCCCCTCGTGCGTGGGTAACAGCTCGCCGTTTAAAGCCCAGTGAAATGGAACCCGGCCCATGGGGCTCTCACAGCAGACGCTGAAGCTGGTTACTCCGCTGGGAAGCCAGGATTCTGAGGCTGGTGCCTGATGTGAATGTCGCACCCATCACCCGAGATTCTCCAGGTGCTTGAGAAATCTGCACGCAGTGACCCCGCCGGACACAGTTACTCCCACCCTCCACCAGCCCTTTCCAGCAGGGTTACCCCAGGGCTCCTGCGGGGGCCCCTCCTCCCTCCTCCGCCTCCCTCTGGCGTCAAGGGCAAGGCGAAGACACACTGTTATTTCATCTGAACTCCTCCCTGGCTCCAACGAAGCGACCACACTCGCAACACTTTAGAATTAGGGCGCACACACTGTCCTTCGCTGCTCCCACCCACCTTCTCGCAGATTCTCTGCTCTTCCCTGCGGGAGCCGGTGGACTGCATGTCTATTTTAAAGCTGCAAATTAACCCACTACATACAATCTCTGTGAGTGACACTCTGACTCAGAGGCCCAGGCCCAGCGACCCAGCTGTGCACGAGGCTGCTGAAGCTCCGCTAAGCCAGCACTCTGGATAAAGGATTTTATTCAGGATCACCGGGCTTCCTCCTTCTGTCAACATAAAGAACCTCACTGTACGGAAAACAGTAGCTGTTTTCAGGACCGAAAATACCACGATAGCATTAGAAGGCGTCACACCCTTGAGACGCCTCTTCTGGCAGCAGGGGGCCGTGGCTCTGGTCAGGATGGGGGGAGGGCACCCAGGGACACGGGAACACCCAGTTAGCAGCCCCTCCAGGTTTGGCCAAACCCAGACCCCGACCGTGTTAACCAAGCATTCACGCACCATAAACAAACCCACCCCCAGAAGCCTTCTTAGTCACCCCAAGCCCAGATTCTCCTACCTTGGGGTGGGACACCCGTTCTCGGCCAGGACGGTGGAGGAACATTCTCCGTGCTCACCAGGGTCCTTTGCTTGCTGCCGAGGTTCGACGGGAGCTTCCTGCCAAGGGCAGCAAAGGGAGACGGGAGTCAGCAGGCTGCTAGCTGTCTCCAGGACATCTATTATTACGAAACCCCTTCATTGTGGGTTCGCCCTGCGAGCCTGGACCACGAGGGCTGACGCAGCCTGCTGACTGGCACCCACGCCCGGCCACGGGGCTGGCGAGCTCAGCTCTCCAAAGTGTCGCGCCCAAACAACTCCACCAGACCCTGGCCGGCGTGGCTCAGTGGTTAGAGCATCGGCCCCCACACCAAAGGGTTTCGGGTTCGATTCCTGGTCAAGGGCACATACCTGGGCTGCAGGTTTGAACCCCGGCTCCGTGTGGGGAGGCGACCAGTTGATGTCTCTCTCTCACATCGATGTGTCTCTCTCTCCCTCTCCCCCCTCCTTCCACTCTCTCTGAAAATCAATGGAAAAAGTATTCTGAGGTGAGGATTCACTCACACACACAATAGAAAACAAAAACAACAGAAACAAAACAACATGACTCAGACTTTTCGGCCACCTCGGTTCTGGGCAGAGCTTGTACATGAGGTCTGTGAAGCTGTAGGACACGTTGGCCAAAAAAAACCCCCAAGCCCGCTGGTCACCACTCATTGCGGTGAAGCCTCGAGGCCAGGACTTGGCGGCGTGTGGGATTCTGGTCTCCCGACTGAGCGAGCACGGGATTCTCAGGGTCACGCTGCGCCGGCCACAGCAGGGCCCCGCCAGGGCAGGAACAAACGCTCCCGGAGTCCAGAACCCCGATTCCACAGGGAACAGGCTTGACATCAACTTTAACCATTCAAAACGCTTACCTCAAAAAAGTGCAGTAACGCCCTGGCCGGTGTGGCTCATTGGGTTGAGCATGGCCCCATTCACCTAGAGGTTGCCGGTTCGATTCCCGGTCAGGGCACATGCCCGTGTTTCTGGCTCGATCCCCAGTAGGGGGCGTGCAGGAGGCAGCTGATCAGTGTTTCTCTCTCATCATTGATGTTTCTCTCTCTCTCTCCCTCTCTCTAAAATCAATAAAAACATATTTTCTCAAAGGTGCAACAGTGTAACCATGCATTGCTTTTTAATTACATCGGTCCCAGAGCAATGTTTAAAAAAATATCTGGAGGAAAAAAACCTAAAAAGAACAGATACTAAAAGTATTAAACAGTATCCAGGTTAGAAAAGCGGCTGTCCGATGTGGCCTTAAGCCTTTCCATGAAACACCGCTCTGCATTTCAGAGGACAACTTACCATGTTCTACAGTTTTCTCCAAGGTCTTTGCTCGGTACTAAGGCAGGGACAAGCTGACGGGGAGACAGAGACAGTGGCAGCAAGGCAAGGAGAGGGCCCTGGCTGGCCTGGCTCCGTGGCTCCAGCGTCAGCCAGTGCACCCGTGTCTCGGGTTCGATCTCCCGCTCCAGTCAGGATGCATGCAGGAGGCAAGCAATCAATGTTTCTCTCCCACATCAATGTATCTCTCTCACATCAATGTTTCTCTCCCACATCAATGTTTCTCTCCCACATCAATGTTTCTCTCTCACATCAATGTTTCTCTCTCACATCAATGTTTCTCTCTCACATCAATGTTTCTCTCTCTCTGTCCCCCTAAAAAAACACACCAAAAAACAAAAACAAACACCAGCAATGGAAAAAATATCCTCTGGCGAGGGGTGAGCATTAACATGCCCCCCCCCCCTAAAGAGAGGTGCTGAGACTGGGCTGGGAGCTCCAGGCGCGGGTCCAACCCCAGCAGGTTAAACCCCAGGAGGCAAAAGCAGCCCGGGTGCCCCCAGACCCCTTGGCGCAGCCTGACGCCGCTGGAGCCCCGTGGATGCCGCGACCGTGATGGGTGCAGGTCGTGCCGACGCTGGCCTTGTACCCGGGGGTGTCCTACACCTGCCCGAGCTCCGGGGCGATGCTCACCTGTTGGTAGAGGTCTGTGGACGGCGACGACCGCGACCTCTCGTGGACATAGCGCAGCCTTTCGCGCTGGTCCAGGCCCGCCTCCAGGATGTCGTCGGCGGAGTGGTACCTGCCCGCGCCGCGGGCCTCAGGGCCTTTGCCCTGCTTCCTCCATGAGGCCTGATACTCCGCAAAGGTCCCGAGCCTCTGCGGCGGCTCCGATGTCCCCGTCTTTCCCGCGCTCCTGGGACCGCC